TCAAAAGATTTCACTTTTTGTCGATTATTCTTATCACTTATTTTTTTTATCGAATAGAAATCATTTTTCTTACGTGTCCCCACCTCCTTTTTTCTATCTTTTGATTCGTTCATTTTAAGTTTAATATTTGTGCACAAATTAACCACTTGACATACAATGACGTCTTCAAAACGTCAATAACTGTTTTCGAGTGTTTCTGCCTTATCACACGTTACAAAATTGTTCAATTATTATTTGATAGTATTACTTAATTAATTATTAACCTTATTGAATTTTATAAAGCAATGTAAATTTCAAAATAAAACGACGTGCATTTTATTTGTATATCAAGTGGTTAAGTTTAATAAATGAAATAATTATAAAATAATAATAATAGAAATTAAAAAGAAAAAAACATTTAACAAATCGATGGGAAAGTTAAAGAAATAAATTTTATAAAAGATTAATGTTTTTCATTGATAAATAAAAAAATGGAAAAGTTTTCTTCTTATTTTGGTTAGACCTTCGTATACTAATTGACGTTAAAAGTTAATTAAATTTTCTTGTAATATTAAACATGCACGTTGAATGAATATAGTATATAGTAATGAATGAATTACTATCGAAAATAGCGATCTTCAGTAAAGAAATACTGAAAGAAATAATGTTATCTCTTTCTCTCTTCATTTATTGGCCTACCTAATATGCACGCTACGTCAACTATCTCCATCCTTGTTTTCTTTTTCTATTTGTTTTTTTTTTGTTCATCGACCATTGGACATCGCGACATTTCTATACTTTGGAATGCATGTCCGGCGGCATTCCTTGTTAGTATTACGAAGGAATCGTCGAGGTCGTCTGGTTCGAGTACCACTCCCACAGGTACGAGAAACAGCTACGGAAGAGAAACAGCTTACTATCTTGCGACAAAACGTGACAAAAAGAAAGAGAGAGAGAGAGAGAGAGAGAGAGAAAGTACGAATTAATCGTACGAGTTCGTTTAAACGGATCAAACAAACGATTATCATTCCGTTAGAAAATCCCTTTCCCTTCTCTTCGTCCTTCCTTCATATGTAAATTATTGTGTTCTATTTAATACATGTTACGTATTTCACGTACGAAAATGTTATTGTTTATTTCGTTGTTTAGAATTAAAAAAGGGATTAGAAATAAATCGTGTTTAATGGTAAAATCAGAGAAAAGCTAAACTTAGGGGGTTATAAATGGAAGCTCATTAGCCAGAGAAAAGTTTTTGGAATCGCGATCCGAAACGATTGTCTCCGTCTGTGTCGTAAAAGCATACGCTTGGATGAACACGATCAAACGTACCTATATTACACTTATATACTTTCCGTACCATAGAAAGTTAATTGGCCATGACCAACGATCATCGTTATCACATTATAACAGTAGCGAGAAATATCGTGAAAAATAATAACGGTGATTAAGTTCTGCAACGACGCGTGCAGTTAGCCGATATATGAAAAGAAGGGAAATTATAAGCTCAAGGTTAACGATAAATACGATTCGATTGGTACAACACGTAAGTAAATCAATTTTATTTATAATATTATCTATCTATCATTCTAATGGTCAACATAATCTATATGAAAGGTATTGTAAAAATGATGAAAAAAAAGAATCCATTTGAAAAGTAAGAAATAATTATTCTGAAACATCCTGTACATGTAACCCATATGAAGAAGAATAATAGGATTGTCGATACACACAAGAAGGTAGTGGTCAAAATTCGAAACCGTAACGAAAATGTAGAAGAGATTGGCTCTTTTCCTAGGGGGCAAACTTCTCGGAGTGAGAATAAAAAGGGTAGAAAGGGAGAGGGTGAGAGAGAGAGAGAGAGTAAGGGTGGGTAGTTCGGAGGTGACTCGGCTGACAGGAGTTCCGAGCCCGGTTGAGGCAAGAAGTCGTCTTCTTCTTCTTCTTCTTCTTCTATCCTTGTCCTTTTTTCCTTTATTTCATTCTTTTTTCCCCTCTGTTCTTTTTCATTCTTTTTCTTTCTCCATTGCTCACTCCTTCAACCAACTTTATAATTCTTGCGACGCTTTTGGGGAATGAGATTGTCGGCGTGGTGGGCGGAAAAAGGAGGAGGTTTAAGGTAGTCCACTGGCGCCAGTGACGTCTGCCGAATAGCTGCTGACTTTCAGACTCCTGCAGTTTCGTTTAAGTGCTTCCCTTTTCCTCTCTCTCTATGCCACTTGAATTTTCGTTCGTTCGCGCACCTTTCTTATCATCCTCTTCTACTACGATAAATACATTTTTCCTTTTTTTTTTTTAGTCATCATCCAAAGATCATCACTCCAATTATTCTTATCGCAGCTATCGTCAATTGATTATTATCCGTATTTTTGTCAAGGGTCAATCAATTTATGATTTTAAATATTTTTCAAAATATTTTTCCATTAATACTAGATATATAATCAAACACACGCACACACTTTATTATCGATATTAATTTTTTCTCGAGATTTTGTATAAACGCGCACGCGCTACTTGTAACATACACACTCGGAGTTGGTGTAATCTGCATACAAAATTACGAAAGAAAGAGAGAGAAATTGTGAAGAGTTGGGAGGGTGCAGGGTGGTGCTGGTGGTGATGGTAGTAGTGAGGGTAGGGTAAAACGGTAGCAAAACAAAACAAAAAAAAAATATCTTGTCGCGTATGTACCTACGCGGAATAAATTGTTGAAATATGCCGGGGGCATTAATATACCCGCCGAACCCATAACGCACAGGGCCAATATTTTGTTTCTTTTTTATTATTTTTTTTTTTTAACTACGTCTACCAGTAAAAAAATATAATATTTTCCTAAAAGCTAATATCTATATCCCGGGCCCGATATCGTTCTCTGTGTAAATAACAGAGTCCGACTCACGTAGAAAAGTTTGTTATGGTGTTTATAAACACACTCATTTAACTCGAATCGACGAAGCGATTTTTCTACCTTTCCAATTGGTTACTATCTAAGTATTTATATACGTAAATAAGCGTGTCTTGTTATAAGTAAAATCTTAACTGGACTTTAACGATCGTAGGATTTCATTTTGTCAAACGGAGCGTGTTCGAATAAAAAAGCATTCGAAGAACGTTGCTCATTCGCGATTTTTGTAAAAAAGATATCAAATAAATCAACGGGTTTTTTTTTTCGTTTAACTCGTAGCTCTTTTAGCCGCGTGATATAACCATCTTGATATATATATATCAATATAACATTATGCAATAAAAAAGGGGGAGAAAAATTGGGGAAAGGCACACGAGAGGAGAAAAGCTTTGTTTTCGTTTGCTCTGAACCGCGGTGACGATTTGAACGATAGCACATTGTCAAGAGATTTAGCTACACAGGTAATGCAAATGTTGATAATCCTTTATCTTCTCGCGTACTATACACTCTTTACTCCATTTTCATTTCCATTTGCGTTGGGAAGCCGCGAGGTAGATCGTACCACCACCACCATCACCACCACCATCACCACCACCGAGTCGAGATGTCGAGGATAAAACCGTAATTACACGCGAATCGTGGGTTCTATGTAGGTGTGTGTATGTATATATATATTCGGCAAAGATTAAAAGGAACGAAGCGCGAATTATTTTAGCCGGAGGTTTCGTTACATGCGTTTTCATACTACGACGAAACTCATTTTTGCGAAGAGGGACTGTCGTTTTGTTTCGTTCATTCGTACTCTCTCCTTTACCTTTCTTTTATTCCCTACAAGCGATTGCGTAAAAAAAAAAAGGGATTCTCTATCTTTCCTTCTCTTTTCCTTTCGCAAGTCTTGCAGAATAATTGCAGTGGAACTTTTTCGAAAAAGGCAAAGGCCGCGTAACATTCCTGTTATCGTAATCAACGCGCGATACCAAATGACAAAAAGGTATATTCTCTTTCTTTCTCTTTCTCTCTCTCTCTCTCTCTCTCTCTCTTTCTCTCCGCGAATATGTAATAAACGTCGCGTTTAAGGTCTGCTACTGCTATCCTTGCAGTAGAAACGAATTCTGTAAAAAGGTAGTAACGATATCAAACGTTGTTACGTATGACTATTTTCATTGCATTTCTTCCCTTCGCGTTTCTCGTTTTCATAAAATTTCATTTAACGTATTCATCATCTATCTATATCTATATATTTTTAATCCTCTATTTAAAATATAAATTATTTCTTCTATGTCTTTCTCAATCTTTTTCTCTCTAGAAAAAAAAGAAGAAAAAAATTGTAATTTTGTTCAGTTTAAAAAAAAAACCCAATTCTCGTTTCTAAACACATGCTTGTCATTGATATTAATTATCATCAAATGTTGAATTAATATAATTGTAAACTATTTAGTAAATTATGATACCACAATATGACATATAGATAGATAGATAATACAAAGATATACGTAGGTATATTTACGTTGATATGCAATAGAAAGAACGTGCGATATCTTTCGATTTCGAAGGATAAAACGTATGAGAGAGAAAGAGAGAGAATGATGAAAATAATTGGATAGATCTCGATCCCGCGCATTGAGCAGCTCATGCTCAGCGAGGAGAAATGCGTAGTGCACAAGTCAACAATGATATCGAACAAAACAGGTGGCAGTATGATATATAAATGTGACGGCACGTACGAACTGGTATACAAAACGGTGGTATAACTCTGACACGGTTTATTAAACACCGTTCGCGAGACCATTGTTATGGCTCGAAAGAGAGTGCAAATATTATTCTGCATGGACGCGACCGGCATTAAAGGGTATCTCCATCATACCTTTCGAATATATCGATTGTCGTTTGTCCGATGCTTGTCGAAAAATATAATATCGTTCGATTGGATATTTCGTTGCGACCAATTTACAATCTTTTTCTCGTATTATGTATTTTTTACGTAAATGGAAAACCCCTAAGAAGACACTTTCAATAAATGCAAAAAGTTATGAAGAAAAATATTGTACGATCATCCCAGTTAGATGTAATTGATAAAAATATTTGCATTAGAAAAAATAGAATAATAAAAGTAACTCACCGAGTTGTCCCTCTGACATCCCGCAATAATTATCCCATCCATCGGACGATGGAATTGGTAAGGACAAAGGTGGTGTCGAGGGCAAAGGGGTCCACTGCTAGTGAACCCAAGAAGGTGGTGCCGCGGGAGTCGCTGCATTGGTGCTCATGTAAACTCCCGCGGGTGCATTTCCGGTTGTCGTGACTACGCCATTGTTTTGAGTAACGAGACCATTTTGTCCGATATTGCTGTCGCTCACTTGAATCGCAGCAGTACCCATTACACCTTGTTGGAAATTGAAATCCAACGTTTCGTCCATCGACAATTCGTGATTAATAACCTACCATTTAACAAAATACAAAATGTTCTAATGTATCTCATCATCTACTTATTAAAAACCAATCAAACTTTCAAAGTTACACTAAGAAAAAGTATAAAGTATGTGTAAAACATAGGTGTAAAACATAGGTGTAATAAATGAACAAACCTCTTCGACGTTGCAATCGAATCCACCGTGCAACGTTTCGATGTTAATGTTGAGATCGTCGAGAAGTGTCGAATTATTAAGGGCACCCATTAATTGTCCCATCATCGTACTTGGTGTCGATTCACATGGGGTGGGGGTGTTCGGCGGACTCGAACCATTTTGTGTTTGTTGTTGTTGCTGTTGTTGTTGTTGCTGCTGCTGTTGTTGCTGTTGCTGTTGTTGTTGTTGCTGTTGTTGCTGCTGTTGTCGTTGTTGTTGTTGCTGCCGTTGTTGATTTTGAATCATATATTGAAGAGTTTGCTGTTGACTGGTACTGAGTGTCGTTGGGCTTGGTTCACTTTGCTGATACGACGGTGACATTCCGGAAACTGGACTTAGGTTCTAAACGTTGAGAAAAAACGGAAATAACAAAACAATATTTAGCTGACTTAAATGCAAGATCATTATCGATTGAAAATAAATATTAAGAAATCTAAGAAAATATATTTACCACTTGACAAGCGCAAGCTTGTAAACGATGTATCGGACAACTCTGTTGGTTTCTTGACTGAGGTGTAGGTGGTAATCCAAAAGATGCAGCATTACGAAGTGCACTGGTGGTCCTTTGATACTGTGTCTCGAAATAAGAAGGCGGTGGACCAGCTTGTTGCTGATGATTTGGTGGTGATGTTTGATACATTTGAAAGGATTCTAGTTTCATAGTTTCCGCGAGGCTACCAGCCAAGATTGTATCTGTATAAGAACAAAAGTAAGATGTGTGTGTTTGTGTACCGATGCGCGTGAGGAATACTTTACAAATACTTTACAAACCTAACTGTTCCGGACTGTAGGAAGATGCATAGGTTGGCGTCCAGTCTGGTTCCTCAAGGACGCGTCCAATCTGGCTTCCTGCCGGAATGGGACTCAATCGACCCGAAGAGGACGCGTTGCTCGATGTTCGAGGTCTTTTTGGGAAAAAGGAAACTGTCTTAGAAATAATTTCACAACTTTTTTGTAGGTGTGTAAAATTAGGGATAACAGAACTTAGAAGAATCTAATAATAATAAGAAGAAAATGATTATAATAGGAAAAAAGGGTGTTATAAAGAGAGGCAAGGTATCGATTTATCGATCTATCGTTTTATTTCGCCAATGTGTCTTACCGTAAGTCCGGTGAAAGTTGATATCCACTTGGATGAAGTGAACTGTCAGAGAAAAGGTCCAAACTCTCGCTGACGCTGCTACTTGGACTTGGTGTAGCATCAGCTTGCAAAACTCCATTTCTCAATGCTTCGACCTTCTTCTTGACTCGACCACGTCTTTTCTCAAATTTGCTCGTTTCCATCGACGTTGCTCTTTGTATTTTTTAATTTATATATATATGAAAATCTTGTTAATTTATATCGAATACTTATTTATGATAAAACGATGATAACAACTCACCTACGTCGAGGTGATTTTCCTGGTTTAGCATCATGATTGATCATCCACCATGAACTTTTTCCAGTACCCTCGTTCTGCACTCGCATGAATTTGCAATGCAACGACAAGTTGTGTCTTATGGAATTCTAAACAAAGCAATATAAAAAATATTCATTTAACTAATACAATGATTTAATGATCTATTGGATTATTTGGAAAGTAATTTCGTATTTTCTTGACACAATTTTGACATTAGTTGATGCAAACTGGCAAATAACAACACGTGAGATTGATAACAGGTTAAATTTATCAAATTAAAAAAAACAGTCCACTTGAAAGGCCTAGGTTGAACCTCGAAGCAAGGTTCTTCATTTTCACAAAAGAAAAACGACATTACTTTCCGAACAACCCAATAATAAATTTTATTAGAAATTTTGTTCTTTCTATCTCTGTTAGTCGTATCAAAAAAAATAGTCAAATAGAAAAAGGACACATGCGTATATATCGAATATAGAAACGCAATTACTTTGTCAAAGGCACGAAACGGAATCGATTCGAAGACAGAAATAGTAGTAGTAGAAAAGAGAGTGTAAGAGAGAGAGAGAGAGAGAGAGAGTGAGGTAACATTTTATCGGCTCGCCTAGTTCGTCCCTCGCTTTCTTCATTAGGCAAATTGAATCGGGCTACGACTACGGGGGTACTCCATTCTCGAAAAATTTCCGAAAGCTTTCTGCCCTAATATGAAAGTATCACTGGAGAAACTATAACAATTTCCTTTCGTTTCTCGTTCCTACGGATAGATACATCCCTGAGTAAACGTACTACAATTCGCGACTGTAAAGAGTACGAGAAAGAGAGAGAAAGAGAGAGGGAGAGAGAGGGAAATTTCACAGGGAATCACGACAACGATAACTAAGAATCACTTTTCTAACATCCATTTTCGGCATCGTAAACGCCTGTATCTCATACCATCCATCCATCCATCCATCCATTCATCCGATTTTTCTTTCTCTATAATTCACCGACGACGTTTCCATTCTCTCCAAATGCTTAGTTTCTAACATACATACCTACACAACGTGTGTACGTGTGCATGCGTGTGTGTAGATACGTAATATCAATGAAAAGGTAGATTATATTTTTGACAATCGATAGAAATAAATTGCTGATCGTTAATTTAGATATCAACATTTATTTAAGCACTACCAGTTTCGCGAACTTGACCGAATCACCGTCACCGTCACCGTCACCGTCACCGTCACCGTCACTGTTATCACCACACTGATTTAATAGTAAAAAAAGAAAGAAAAAAAAAAAAAAGGAAGAAATATGAAGAAGTTGAAGAATTTATCGCAAATGTTTATCGATCAGCAGGAGTAATACGATTTTACGATCTCAGTTCTTTCGATTTCTTTAACATACCCGACATTTTTTTCCTTTCTATTATACATATGTATAGTTCTTTCTTTTTCTATTCTTATCACAGTTAACTTCTTTTCCTACTTTCCGAATGTATATGTATATATATACATGGAAGAGAGTATGACGATAGTGAGCCATTCCAGTCATCCAGTTGCGAGAGTCACTATGAGATCGGGACTTTACAACCCCATCGTTTCCCCTGCATTTATCGGCGCTACGTTAGGAAGAAAATCTAGACGGTTTTGGCGCCACCATTCTGATTTTTACCTCCCTCCCACCCTCTAGATCTTTCTCTCTCTTTCACATACTGTTTTAAGGTAACGACTACATTCAATTCTAAGAGAATTTTAGGACAATGAGACAAATCAAGTGAATTTTCTTTGAAAGTCATTAAAAAAATTTTCCTAGTGTTAATATTCTCAATTGTAGATTTTTTGTTGTTGGATCCAATCAAAACTACACACGGATAATTAATATTATCTTTGAAGAAACAAAAATTAGTCGAATTTCTTTTATATATAAACTCGTTGACAAATTGTCGTGGTGGTTATAGTTGTGGTGGTGGTGGTGGTAGCCGATAAACTCTGGGTACTTTCGTCAAAATCCCTATAAAATTGGCGGAAACGGTCCGTCGAATGCGAAGGGTGGATAACGAGGGAGAGAGGGAGAGAGAGAAATAGATAGAGGGACCAAGTTATCACGGGGTTTCCAAACTGTATAACGCGCAATTTATGGTGCATACTTGTCCCTTCCCATTGTTCAGAAGAAGAAGAAGACGATAAGGGAGCGAGAGATCGTTGAACGTTCAACGTACGTACAAAAGTGCGAATAAGCTCGGTCCACGTCCGGACTTTTGTGAACTCCTTCCCCTACTCTCTCTCTCTCTCTCTCTCTCTCTCTCTTTCTTGTCTAGACTCTTCAGACACAGCGGTACTTGCCCCGAAGGATGCTGACCAAGGCTGATGTCTCGTCGAAATCGTTTGGTTCAAGTATAAAGCGTGAAAGGAAGAGAGAGAGAGAGAGAGAAAGAGAGAAAGAAAGGAAGCTTTTAAACGCGTATCCTTTACCTAAATATTCCAATTTTATTATTTTTCTTTTTTTTTAAATTTTCTTCATCCATGTAATTTTGCAACAAATTGGCAAACAAATTGGCAAACAAATTGGCAAACAAATTGGCAGTGGCCACGCGTTGATGTGGCTTTGTTAGAAAATGTTGATTTCATTTAATTTTCATTTAATTTCGTAAAACTGCTAACTAAAGTATTATATTTACTTTAATTATATTTATATTTTATTAAAATCATAAATATAATACTTAATATAAATACATAAAAAAAAAAAATAAAATCATATAAATAGTTAATCAATTCTTTCCTTTCATGGTTGACTTTCACTTATTGTTAGTTAACATTATTAGATCGATATCGCGTTTAAGAACGCGAGGAAAATGGTAATTCCCTCTTTTTATTCCCTCCTTCTACTAAGAGGAAATAAAAAAAAAAAAAAGAAAAAAGAAACTAGTAGACTCGTCATAGAGAATTGGCGATGTTCGAAAGAGCATTGGCTAACGGAGAAGCTCATGGCTTTGAATAATGGACGATGGTCGTTAGATGACTCGTGCACGAGAGCCTCAATTTTTAATACGCATTATACACACACACATATACTATCTCGTATAAGTAGATACCTATCGAACCTAGAGATAAATCGATTTGAATTGTGATATTGTGAATTCGATTGATCTTTCAACGAAACTCATTTCTTTTTCTTGACCTTTTTTTTTTCTTCTTTTCTTTTAGACGATTATAATAAACTCATCCCTTGACTCTTTCTAACACCATTGAATTCTCCTAGTTGAATAAAAAAAATTAAATGAAATTTTATAAATCCAGCATTTGATCAATTTGTTGAGTTTGGAAAAATGAAATATACCTTTCCTGTATGTCGCGAGGTAAACAAATAAGAATGTAAATAAAAGTAAAATGAAGGAAGACGGAAAGTGATGGGTCTATTTTCATTTTTAACGGATGTGGCTTTAGTTTTGTCATAACTAGGAAAACGAGTTGTTGAGTTTCTTTCTGTTACGAAGGAAGATACTAGCATTTAAAATCATACGGATTTTGCGGTTTGCCTCGAAACACGTGTGGAATGATTTTGGTTTGTTCATAGAAAACAATACAACAACAAAAAACAACAAAAATAAAACGAAAACAGTCATTTCTTTTATCACGTTTCCACAAATATCTATTCTTGTAAATATAATATAAAGGGTTATATGATAGAAATGAGAGGTTGTTCTTTAACACGTTCCATGCCAAGCCCTTTTTACCTGATTTGTCATTCAGGTCATTTAATTTTGCTTGAACAAAATCAACTATTACATGTAATTATTAATTATTGTAAATATAACAATTAAACAAACTTATGTGCTTTGTTCTATACTGCATTTTGTATATTTTCAAATGAAATATTCTTTTATAAAATTAAATTTATTATAAACGTATATTTTAAGTGCATTAAATAAATATGACAAATGTTAAGTGTACCATCGGTGGTACACGTGGCCTGAAGTACAAGTTTAATGTGTACCACCGGTGGTACACCTGGCATGGAACGTGTTAAAGCATAAAAAAGAATGTAATAAGTCTTTGGAGGGGTATTTTTCTCTTCTTTTTTCTGTAAACCAATGGAACTAGGAGTATCGCGACGAAACAATCAAACAAGACCATCCCAGTTAATCCGTAGGAACATCTCGGTACACATTAATTCAATTTCATTGACAACGATGACAACGAACGGAGAAAGACGAGGTCAATTTCGTAAAAAGCATTTACCTAAGTAGGATCGAATACACGCTGGTACAAAATTCTATACGCATATCATCCCCCACCCACGTGCTTAAAACAACCACCTACCAACCTACTCAGTTTCATTCGATTTTCACATTTCAACGAGCAAAATAGTCGCTACAGATATGATAGAATAATTTCTCATTTAAATAATATTATCGGTGGACGGTATCAGCGACCAATATCCAAATTTTATAATAATTTGAACAACAAAAAATGTTATTATATTATATAATATTTAAAACATACACACGAGGTGTTTTATCCGAATACACACACGATGATGATTTCATATGTAAAAAAACAAAATAAAAAAAGAAAGATTAGTATTTTTTCTTGGTCATTTGAAACGTCGTTCTTCTGTCTCCACCCCTGTTTTTTTTTTTTTAATCATCCCTTTGGTATATATACTCCCATGCATAAATATGCAACCATATAATCAACGTGATAAAAGTATTTACCATTTAACAACAAAAAAAAATGAATGAAAGTAATGAAACAAAAGTAATATAGAAATGAAAATGAACAACAACAAGAAAAAAAATATATCGAGAGTTTATTTAGAAGATAGTGGAAAGGTGGGTGACTCGGGTTAATTCGTTGAAGGTTCGAGGGAAGGGGGTTGAAGAGAGAAGATCGGAGACTACTATAAAACGAATTCCACTCGATTGGGAGCACTCAAATCAGAAATCCGGACTGCCAGCCAAACGTCGTGCTAAACCGGAAGCGAGACGGGGACGAGGCGGAAGAAGGACAGACGACGGGAAGTTTAGGAAAAAGAAAGAGAAAGAGAAAGAGAAAGAAAAAAAGAATGAGTTAAGGGAGAAACAGTGAACGAGAGCCAATTCGTTAATCCCAATTTCCGATTCGCATAG